CTCCTGGACGGAGTAATCATTAACGATAATCCTTCGACACCACCTTTGTAAGGTAGTTACGTGAGGAAGTGGAAACCCATTGTCATACAAATGCCTATATGCTCTGGGACCGGCAGCGTAAAGGCATATAGCTTTTGATATGTCTTTCCACGACCACTGAACACTTTTGTCTGCGATGAATATAAAAAGTTTGCATATCACAATGTGCCTTCGATACACTTTATAAAGCTTTATAAACCTACTTTATTTTATAAGAATTAGACTGTTAATAGTTGCGTTCTAGATGCTTCACGATTTGCAAATTTTACAGGATTTGCAGGAACAGCTGTTTTCTCCATTAATAAACCTTATAGACGGATGTCACCTGGAACGGCTTCCCATGAACGAAAGACACAAGATCACGTAAGAACAAGAGAGTGAAAAAGTCGATTTTTTTTACCGGGTTCCACGCCATCTTGTTTCACTGGAAAACGAGCGAAAAGTAAACAAAGCAAAGAAAACAACGAAAACCAAAATTAGCCGAAATTATTGTCAGCCACTTTAAACGCACAATTTAGGTAAAATGATGCAACAAAATGCTTTAAAATGTGTTGTCATGTTGAATTAACTTTTCTTTACTTGAATAAAAGTGTAAAATAGTGGTGCTTGTGATGTAAACAAACGCTCAGCTGACGAACCCGCTTTCGCAAACTTTTTTCTCAAAACCAGTTACAAATACAACGTCGCCTTCTTACGTGATCTTGTATTTTTGGTTCATGACGGCTTCCTGTAAAATCCTGCAAATCGTGAAGCATCTGGAACGCAACTAATATAAAAAAGTACACACCGCGTATTATCATTTTCCTCACTTGACCTTCTGAGAACATTGATCGAACTGAGGTCATTATGCTGGAGGTTTCCGCGGCATTAATTTTCAATTTGGTGTTTTCCTCGCGTAGCTTCTTGTTCTCTGCCCTCAAATTTGCAATTTCTAACTCCATTGCACACTGGAGTAACATAGAACTATAGGGAAGGGTTTAGAAAATGGTATAAATAAATGGAAAAATGGACAAAAGCCATATGTTTGTATATGCATCCACAATGTGTGCCACACATTGCTCGTCAGTTTGCGTCTGGCAATTGTTTTGTGCCACGCATTGCTCGGTCATTCCTAAAAAGCCACTACAAATATATAACATGTAAAAAATCTCCTGAATCTAAAAAATCGGATACAGTCTTACTTATCACGCGTGTTAGATACGCAAGGGTCATCTACACCAAGCCACATAGCAGAATCCAATGGGTCTTCAACACATTCTGGATTAATGCTATTTGAGAAATTTTATTTACAGATAATTTAAAGGATATGCAGATAGGAAACTTACATCAAAGACGACGGTATGTTAATTGAAGGGACAGAGTTGGGCATTAAGTGGGTTCTTTGCGCACCTACAATGAGGTCGGATTCCGGAAGATGTTTATAGGGTAATCGCACAAGGCAATTTTACAGGCAACAAAAGTTGAATGAGAAATTGAAAGTGAAAAAGTTGCCATCCCTATTCAGACGGGGCGATTTTCGATTCAACACGAATTGTTTTATTTAAAATGAATTTTAATCGCAAAATTGTATAAATTAGCGTAAATTTGGTAAGCCAAGCGTTGGTAAAAGTGCTTTAGCGATTAGTTGAAAGGCCGTTCGGACGAGGCGATTTTGGCTTTCAACTAAAAGTTGCCTGAAAAATCGCCGCGTGCGAAAGCCCTATTACACTCTGTGTACATACTTTTTTTCTTTTTTACTTTTTTACTTTTATTTTATCTTTCAGCTTCGCTAAAAGCACCTCTACCAACGCTTAGCTTACCAAATTTACGCCAATTGATACAATTTTGCGATTTGTTGGCTGGCGACCAACTTTGTTGAAAGCGATTACTTGAAAGGCCGTTCGGACGACGCGATTTTTTCTTTCAACTAAAAGTTGCCTGAAAAATCGCGCGTGCGAAAGCCCTATAACCTTCTGTATACATACTTTTTTTCACTTTTAACGTTTCATTCAACTTGGCGTTCAACTTATGTTGCTTGTAAAATCGCCGAGTGCGAATGCTCTATTATGGTAACTCTGAATGTAGCAATTTGACAACTATAAAATTTGACATTAAGTGTTTAGCTTTGCTGTGTCATTTGCGGTTAGTATTTGGAGAAGTATTTCCTATTATCATTTGAGAATATTATAGCAAAAATGGCTTCTGAACGCTATAGCTTTTCCTTGACTACTTTTAGGTACATTAACAAGAAATATTTAGTCAGAAATTATCTTAAAGAAAGTCTTTAAATTGTATGTTTTAGCCCCTCCGGTAAATTGGTTCAATTAGAATATGCTTTAGCGGCAGTTGCTGCTGGGGCAACATCAGTGGGTATCGTTGGTAAGTAAACCAAGCGTGCTTATGTAGAAAATCTTTATTGGGCCAAAATTTTTACAGCCTCGGATGGTGTTGTAATCGCTACTGAAAATAAATATAAGTCGCCCCTATACGAAGAGCATAGCGTACACCGAGTTGAACCTATCACTGACCATATTGGTATGGTGTATTCTGGTCTTGTGCCGGATTACCGCCCACTTCTCAAACGGGCACGAAAAATGGCTCAGCAGTACTATTTGGTTTACAAAGAGCCAATGCCCGTCTCACAATTGGTACAACAGGTTGCCAATGTAATGCAAGAATATACGCAGTCGGGGTAAGAAATATTCCTTTGTATTTTTCGTGTTATAAATATATACCTATATAATGCTTATGAACATATTTCTCATCAGTGGCGTAAGGCCTTTTGGTGTCTCTTTGCTTATCTGTGGTTGGGATTCCGGCAAACCATATTTATTTCAATGTGATCCCACTGGCGCATTTTTCGCTTGGAGAGCAACTGCTCTTGGTAAAAATGCCCAAAGTTGTAAAACTTACATGGAAAAAAGGTATTTCATCGTAATTGTAAAAAATAAATAAATCTTTTGAAACCTTTTTTCAGATTTAACTTACAATCTAATAATTCTGTGTCTCAATCCCTGGACGATGCAGTAGTCGACGCTATGCGTACACTAAAAGGTGGATTCGAGGGCGTAATGACCAAGGATAACATCGAAGTGGGAATCTGCACTGAAAAAGGGTTCAGGCGGCTTACACCTACCGAGATAGACGACCATCTTTCAAATGCCAACTAAATTTTTTTATCGCAAATAATCAACTCGTTTGTACAACCTTATTCAGATAAAACTTCAAGAAGTAAAAATAACATCGTTTACAATAAAGATGTTTTGTTTTTATTTAGTTTTCGCGATTATATCAATTCAATCCAATGGTTTCTACAAATCCGCAACAGGTATCGGGGTCAAAGAGAAATACATTACAATGGGGCGCTTCTTTTTTCGAAACCACTTTAATTATTTCCTGAGACATAACACCTCCAACGACTGCTGCAGATGGGGAAGCTTGTGCAAATACATTCTCAAAATATTCGTCACTCAAAGTGGATACCCGTGTTATTTCATTTCTTATACGCTTTAATTCGCCGATGTCAGCATCACGTGTTTTATAGCTAGGATCTCTATTACAAGTTTCTCGGAATTCTTGAAGAACACGCATCAAAACCAGAGCAGGTCCTGTACGCTTTAGTTTCTTTTGAAATATTGGAGCATTGATATCGAATTCAAGAACTGAACTCAAAGGTGGAAAATTCAGAGTACGTTGTACAGCTGCAGTGATTAACTCAGTTTTGACTTTTTCATTGGGCTTGGAAACGACTTTGTGCTTTACCACATCCCTATAAAAAATAAAACAGCGAATAAATAAATATAATGAAATTCTTATGTGAAATGGTATTACTCAACAAATGTGTGTTCCTGAAGATCACCAAAGCAATATCCAAACATTCCCCATACATCTCCACAAAAGAACTTAATTGCTTTCTCTCGACAAATATTATCAACTCTTAATAATTCTTTATTGGTAGCGCCAATCGCAACTACGACGTCGAACTCTGCAAAGTATTCAATATTTTTCGAGGCCAGTGATCCCGTGTCAGCGGATATCTCCACCATTGGATTAAGAGCACGCGCTCGCTCGATTGACGCTTCTGCTCTGTTTTGCCCTATTGCTGTGCGCGGCACTAAGAACTGCGCACAGAAATCCTCTTCTGTAACACTTTTTTCATCTTGCAATATTACCGAGTGAACACCTGAAAGAATTATATTTTTTTGTAACTTCCGCGCCGATACCACATAGTCCCGATACTAGTATTTTTGCTGTGCGTAATCTGGAGTGGTTAGAGATATATATATAACGACAAATGCATTAAACTTGGTTCAAAAAACTACCTTTTTTGCGACTCTAAGCCCCAAAGACGTATTTGTCTATCATATAATTCATTTTCTGCTTCTGTTAATTCTACTCCATTAAGATTATCATTCTTTTGGTCGTCCATGCCTGAAAATCAGCTCCAAAATGTAAAAATCCAAGAAAACCGCCGACGCTCAACTAGGTATTCAATAAATGCATCGATGATCTTGCAACATCGATAACATCGGTCAGAAACTCGAATTTGCATTCGATATTTAACAATGTATAATTGAGGGTTCACATTGTCGAACAAAATCGACAGTTTTACTCAAATTTCCGCCGTTTGACCGTGTGATTTTTCGGTTTCGTCAATCAACAGTCATCCGCAAAATGTTTGCGGCTGACTGTCAGTCAGCGACCATATTAACAGCCTAATAAAGTATCGGGTGCACTTTGAAATGCGATTCGGGGATTACAGGTGGTACCAATGGAAAACTGGAGTCCTCCACTTTCCAGATATACCCACTTTAAGGGCCGGTTACTCAATGTCTGGTTAACACTTATCTCCGGTTAAACATTGTTATCGACGTATTCGACTCCATTCATATATCAGGGAGTCGGTAACGTCGATAACAATGTTTAAACAGAGGATAGTGTTAACCAGACTTTGAGTAACCGGCCCTGAGATATTTAGCCTTAAAGCTTTTACTTGCTTAATAAACAACACTATGTATTAGACAAATCAACACGAACATACACCTTAAGTGCACTTCAAATCAATTTAAATTGTTTATACTATGTCTCCATTGTGAGATTTATTGAAGATTTAGCCCTCTGACGAGATTTGACGTTAAATCTTTTGAGATTTACCATATAAAATTAAATCTCGAAAGGCAGTAGATTTAAGTTAAATCTTCGTCAAATCTTCAATAATATTGATCAATAAGTACAATTTGTTGGAGTGGCAACCACAAATTCACATGCCATAAGTCAAATGACATTTGTGTTTTCAATATACAGTTCAGGACATTGAAATCTAGCCTATCATAAAAACATGAATTTTCGTATTTTTAGGGATTTTTATATTTTTGTTAGTTTGGGATGAAAATTAGTAATACATATACATAACTTTGGTTGTAGTAAATTAAGAAAATATTATTTTAAAAACTAAAAATTTAGAAGAAATGTTTTATAGTAATATCATGTAGAGTCTTCTCCGCTTTCTATAAGTCATTTACCGCTGCGACAAAAAATTTATACATTTCGGTAATGGTTCTGCTTCGATAACATTGCACCGAACATCCTCTAGAACTCAGTTCGTATTCATGATATGCCAAGGGCCCACGATTGGATTTTCGGTTCCCTCCTAAGAGAGTTCTACAAAAATTTTTCTTTCCGCAAATGTTTTTTACCGTTTTGATAATTTTTCTTAAATTCGGGAAAATGATTCTTTACACTTTCCAAACTATATATTATACATACATATTTACCACGAATAAGAAGCCAATAATATTCAGAATTCATACAATGAAGCTCCGCTTGGTACCTGCCTTTTATCTGTCTGTACATCAACGTCCGCAACTGTATTTATAAAATCATACATAAGCAAACGTCGAATATTTAAAAATGTGAACGTCAAACATATCTCGTTGTGGTAATGGAGACGGTTGTGATTTAGCAACTGGATTTATTAAATCTTAATGGATAAATCTCTCAATGGAGACATGGTATTAGATAATATTAATTTTTTACTGTTTCCCTTAGAAAAACAGTTATATTTTTTTCTACTAAATATTTTGTTTTTTCATTTCGCAACTAGCGTAAATGGCGGCTTGAGTATTGACATAAAGCGAATGTGCTACTAGATGGTCAAAATGAAAAATAAAATAAACGAAAGAGAAGAGCGTCTGTAAAGTTTCCTCTTACTTCTGTTGCCCTATTCGCCGTGAGTTTTACACTTATGAGGGGTTGAGGTTTTATGCCTCCTCATATTTGATATTAAAAAAGGAGAACTCTGCTGATTATTGGTTATGATCCTCCACCTTGAATATTCATTTGCACAATAATTGCTAAAAATTTTCCTTCCAGAAAGATGTTGCGCCTCTTTTCTCTGGCAACAGAGAAAGCAGAATTATACATAGTGAGAGGTGTTCAGCCCCTTTTCTTTGGCAACACAGAAAAGAGAATACTACGTAGTGTGGGTTATAATACCTAAGCGCGGCCGAAGGGCGCCTACGCAGGAAGGTGTTCTATGCAAAAGGTCTTCAGCCCCTTTTCTTTGGCAACACAGAAAGGAGAGTTCTCTGTCGTGAGGGTTGAAATCCCTAAGCGCGACTGCAGGGTCGCCTACGCAGAAAAATGTTCTCTGCAAGCGGTGTTCAGCAACATTATATTTAAATATTTTATATTGCTTGGCCCATGTGGCAATATATTCCTTTCATTGTTTATATTGAAGCATTTACGCTGAGTTGCAAATGGCTTCTCCCAAGAAATTTTTAAACGATATTACTTCATACCAATGTGATATTCAAGTAAAAATACCTATTAACCCTTTCCGATCAAATCCATACCTGATGATGTTTTTGAGAGTTTGTATGCTCCTTTCTGCTAGTCCGTTTGTGGCT